GATTAGTCTGATTCCCGGAAGTCGCCATGGTGGCACGATTCTTTAACCATGCAGATAAGGCATGCTTTATCCAGTTTTTACTTTCGTTTTTAACTGAATTCATGGAATATAACCCATACTTCTGTTTCTTTACATTGTTGACAAGTGCATGTTTGGCACAAATTTTTCTATCATGTTTTTACTGCGATTTTATTCTTTCCTCCCACTGACGGAACCGGTTGTCGGTTGTTCATAGGTTGTTTCTACAGATCAAGGTTTGTCCAGTGATTGAGACTAGCTCTTTCTAAGGGGCCCAACTGAGTAGGTTAAACCTTCCTTATACACCTGAAGACGGAGACAGATCCAGTCTCCGAAACGTTGTGGTAATTTTGTCTTTTTTATATACCGGACGATGGGTGAAGTCCAAAATAAGCCAAAAGATGCTACACCTTGTCTGGGATGAGTTTGATTACCGTGTGGATGTGTGTCGTGTGACCCAAGGTGCATAAATTGGAGGTTTGTAATTAACGCATGAGAAACTTGGATAGTTGCCTCCGCTGACGGTGTATGTTGTGCCCTTGTAAGTTGGGAATAAATTTCTTATTAACTTTTGTAACCGCACAATTCTTTTGTGTATACTCTGTATTTATACTAATAATACTAAGTGAAGATTACAAATTAAGGAGTTCCTCATTATGCGTTCAATCAAACCTCCTTCCATGCCTTCTCTCTTAGGCTTAGTTTAGCAGTCGGTTTATGTTCCCGGGAAATACATTACCTTCGACACACCGGTCATTTAGCGGAACTTAGTTGGATAACATTACAATTACAGACGACAGGTTTCATATGGATTGCATTTGCTTCAAGTTTATACTCGTACTGTTCTCTTGTGAAGGGTATTTTTCTTTTCTTTGTTGCAGAGGTCCATTCAGCGTGGTAAGACGATGTATTCACCGGCAGACGTCGCAACAGTTTGCCGTCAAGATTGTAGACGTTGCGAAGTTCACCTCCAGTCCAGGGCTCAGCACATCAGGTTAGTTATGTTGTTTTGTATGCTCATTAATAAGCGGTCTTTCCGCGCCACAGTTGCGAATCTATCTGATGTTGTGTAAGTCTTTGTTGATTGTCATGCATTTCTACTACGTTTATTGCGTAATTTTATTTAAATGTGTGTCTATTAGACCTACTTATATTATTTCATAAATACGTTTCGAAACTATGTTAGAAGTATGAGAAAACGATTTCTCTAAGTGTTTCATCACATCTTGGTCTTGAATACGTGTGTGCCTTGCATAGTTGACATTTAAATTTGATAAAACATGTTAATTTATATAACATGAAACGTTATTAGTCTCCTTTCCTTCCTTAAAAGAAAAGATTTTCAGGCGTATGACTTCATCATGATACGTATTTTCCTTCTGTACTTCTGAGCTGATTATTCGATTTTCACGAAACTTAATACTAACGGCATGCCATTGGACGCTATCTCCACGTCATACAGTTTTTGTTTCCAGCAAGAGGTAATAACAGCATGGCGGGCAGGGCAACATGTGGAGTTACAGTGAAACTAGCGGCACTTAATATGGCATCCTGATATAGTGTATGAAATAGACCTTGAAAATATATGTAACTTTTGTTAAAGGAAACTTTTTATGTATAATGTATTGTAGCAACATGGCGACCGTGCGAACATTTCCTTTAATGTAGGGTTTGAGGTTCTCATATAGGTGGTTATGAAGAGTTATATCTTTTGGGATATAACGCTATGTAGTTCGTTGAGAATCAACTGACGTTTCGGAGGGACATGTCTCCAAATCCCACTTGACCAGATCCGGGATCGAACCCGGGTCGCTTGAGCTATGGCGCGGCCTATTACCTGAAGTTACTATGTAAGTTTTTACTTATGGTTTGTTCCATAAGCTTAGACACCTTATAGCAGTGATAATAGGACGTGTTTCGAAGTAATTTCGATATTAATATTCCAGAATTTTGCTTCCTTGTTCCCTGAAATTTTCCGCCCTAAAAAATTACACGACCTCCGCCGGGTTTGAACCCGCGTATCTTGAGTCACGAGGTGGGAACGTTACCCCTAGACTACGGAGGCCGCTTGGTAGCATAGTTTGTTGAATCACTATGCTACAAGGCGGAAGGTCGCGGAATCGAATCCCAGCGAGGTGGATTTATTTTTAATTGACCTAATGCTTCCAGCCGCACTATGGCCCTGGAGTCTACTCGGCCTCCAGCAGATATGAGTACCAGGAATGTTCTTGGGGGAATGGACGGCCGGCGCTTAAGACTGACAGCCTTACCGCCATCCGTGAGCCGAATGTCTAGAAAATATGGGAGCTTTACTATCTCACAACCCTATGGGCCTTCACGGCCTGTTAAGGAGTAACTTTACCTTTACTTACGAAACTTAACGTTCCAGCACGTTTTCTTTCACTGTTTGCTGAAATTTAGCAGCGTGGCATGCCACTGATGCTTCGGTAACTAGCATCGAAGTAGTAAACGTTGCTGCATCACATGCGGTCTAAGATATAAACTGCCAAGCTCCGTAACTGAGCCCCACGAGAGTTGCGCTGTAAGTGAAGAAGTCGGCAACACGATACATCATTTCTCGTCTCACATACGTATCATTTTTTTTCTAATACTCCGAACGAACGCTCTGCAAGTCATCCGGTTTATTACTATCAGTAGATTGTTAATTCTTTGAAGCCAAAAATCCATTTAAATAATATTTAAAATTCAATCACTGTCTCACAGAAAGCTCATTGCGTCTCGTATTTTAAGCACAAATCGGATATTGCTATTTAGGGAAGTAATCGTTTGTTCTTAGAAGCATGCTGAAACCATAAATACAGTCTCGTGGCATTGTTTTGGAACGTTAAAACAGGTAGTACGTATAGTAACAACTGGTGTCCTTTCAAACGTTAAAACTTAGTTCTTACTCTGACGAGAGATGAAGCTAACAACTTAAGGAGGGATCATATTGTGCTGCTTATGACTGCTAGGTAAACACATTCCCTGGTTACGCTCTCAACAGTAGACGGACATCCATTGGTAGATAACGAACCAATGAACACGCATTCTTGATAATAAGACGGTGTTTTCCGTGGGATCGGTGCCGAGGAATTATAAGAGGGTGCAGAACAGAGTACAACGGAGAACGAGGACGAGAATGGAGCATGTCGTAGTAATTTGTGAAGTGGGTAGATCGGCGGTAGTGCTGTAATTGAGTGCGATTAAGAGAGATTGTAAAAAAGAAGTTGTTAATAAATCCAGTCGTCAAAACCAGAAGCTGTTATTATTATTATTCACGGAGTTATAAACACGTGACAGTGTGATAATGCGTTAACATGTTTACTGAGCCGCTGCTTGCCATTGCGTCACAATACTGTCAGCAGCTTGGCTGATGCTGTATAACCTATAATGATAGGGCTATAGATGAATAATGAATCATGTGGTAGGAAGCGGTTGACTTCTGATTCTAAGTGGTATTTCGGTTTTTGCTTGAAGTGACAGAAATCCCAAGAAAATCTTCAGGACTGTAGGTGTCCTGGGTGTTTTCTCAGCTTCAGTCGCGTCTTAGTAGGGTAAACATTCGTTAAGTTTGCTGCCAGAACTTCTTTATCGGACGGGACATAACTGAAGAACTTTGAGCCCACAGAAATATCCCAGCTCTTGGAAACTCCCATTTATAAAATGTCTATTTTGGGGTGGTCTTTACCACGATTTTGTTTTGTAGTTCTCATACACGAGCGGCCAAGGATTTTCTTGGCCACGCTGGATAACCACAGTCTGTTACTCGTACACTGTATCTAATTATTCTCTGAACAGCCGTTCAGGTCTTTTCAGTGGAACAGCGAAAATGCCCTCGTGCACCTTACACATCCACAATATCCTCACTTGGCTTCAATATTGCATTAGGGTCTACTTGTGAACTAGGAAAACCGACCCGTATGTCGTCTACTCTTCGACATATAAAGGAAACACAATCTTACGACCAGATATCCTTGTCAGCACACGCTGTAGTAATCTTTATTTTTTTTTAAATAATGTATGTGATGCGAATTTCAGTACACAAACTTATCGGATTCATAGTGATCTATTACTCTTTCAATTAACCCTTTAAACACAGTTGTTATTATTTGCACCACCCTATTTAGCTTGAAAAGAGATCACCATTTTGCCCATCGAGTATAGCATAAATTGTAAAGTTGCCTATGTACTTTTTTTTTTTTTGCTGGTGGGACGGGACTAAGTCTCATGTACTGCGGCCACTTCTGGCCTATTGTACCAGCCCCAGATGATAGGTGAGGGTGATTGTGGAGCAATTGGTGGAATGAAGATTGGCAGGGGAAACCGAAGTACTCGGAGAAAACCTGCCCCAGCGTCACTGTGTCCACCACAAATCCCACTTGACCAGACCCGGAATCGAACCCGGGCCGCCGAGGTGGGAAGCCAGCGACTAACCGCTTGAGCTATGGCGCGGCCTGAGTTGCCTATGTGCTTAACTAATTAAACAGTACGCCATGAATGTATATGGGAGAGTGGATCGGTAGATCCACGTTTCCTTGACCTCGGTACTAGTTGAAGGTGATATATGCTTCTCAAAACAAATAGCGATTATTTCCCTAAGCACCGTAATTTCGAATAAAGAAAATTATCACTCTCGAATTTTGAAAAGATTTTACAAGTGCAAGTCGCAGATGTCTAACACAACATGAAGTAAAGGAAGGTGGTGTACGGAACATAAATAAGTTATTGCTTATTAGAAGGTGTTTTGGGTGTGAAGATAAAGTTCCATNTTACCCGCCATGTCAGTGCCCCGCGTCTTTGTTTAGTTATCCACGCCGCTAAAATTTAATATTTCACAGTTACATGCCTTTTGTCCTTGCTAGATCCCTTTTAGCGACTAAATATTTTCTATTGAGCTGATTCAGAAAAGTAAATGTGCGCAGTCTGGACGACCGTGGTTTAATTCCCAGCAGATGCATTTTTCCTTTGCCGTTGTCTCCAGAGACTGATGCGGTTTCTGAAGGGCGAAGCAACGGGAGCGTGAAACTAGCGAGGCTAAAAATGCATGGAGCGTTTCTTACGTTCCCCAGACGTTTTAGTGGCTTCGTACTTAAGGACAGGTATAACAGCTTCACATGGATGAAATAATAGGAGGTTGGAGAAACTTGTATAAAGGGAGCATCATAACCTCTACTCTGCCTCAGATATAATTAGAATGATTAAGTCAAGGAGGATGAACTGGACAGTGCGCATAGCATGAATGCGGAGGAGAATACGCATGGGGTTTGGTGAGGAAACCTGAAGGAAACAGAACGCTAGGAAGACCTAGGCGTAGGAGTGAGAGTAATATTAAGATGAATCTTTGACAGTTGGATGTGATGGTATGGACTGGATTCATCTGGATCAGGATAGGACCCAGTGGCGGGTTCTTATGAACACGGTAACGCACCCTCGGGATCTGTAAAATGATGGTTAATCCTTTAGTAGCTGAGCGACTGGCGGCTTCTCAAGGACAACACAGCTCCATGGAGTTACTTATAACAGTGTCACCATGTACATATGTAGCCTATGTTGAACATACGATAATACCTGTGGAAAATCATGCTAATTTTCATATGGAAACCATCTTTAACTTGGCCACCTATCTTGTACGTTGTCCACTTTCTTCCATTTCTTGCTGTGGTATTGTACATATACAGGGTGATTCACGAAGTATTCCTGGGGTTATTTCCTGCAAAATTTCATTATAAAATTGTGGTCGATTTTCAATAGTTACGGAGTAACAATAGATTTTCGAAACGCATCATTGTGAATGCAGCGCTATGCTTCAGCGTGGGCGACCATACGTTCCAGTCAGCTATGTCAGCAGATAAGGTAGACCGGTTTGAATGTTGCGCGTAGGTAGATAGGCAGAGCGGTTCATACGCGTGCGACGCATTGTGTTGACGTGCAGGGAGACATTTTTGAAAATCTTATGTAAATCCAGTCGTCTTCTAAAGCACTACAGTTTAAAGG